ACCTGGCCATGCAGCCAGAGGGTCAAGATTTAATTCCCCACAATGCCTCCTGGGAGAACAGCCAACAGAGTAGCTTCATTCTGTTTTAAAGAAAATTATATTGCAGAAGTTAATTATTCATGCATATCTCATTGAAATGTAAACCTTTCTCTCTTTTTTTTCAGGAATGAGCAAGAAAAAAGAATCTGAAGAGCAAGTTGTGGTACATGAAGAGTTCACGTATGTTAATGGAGCAGCTACCCAGATCTTAAAGTGCGGCCCTTGGAGAGATCTCTGGAAATATGAAAATACCCCCAAAGTCTTATTTCTAGTTATCCCCGGTATGTTTTGTGGCTTTTTGTTTGTGTCTTATGTTCTTGTATTCTCCTGATGTGACAAAAAATGTGAAGTACAATGTGCACCAGCTGCACCCATTCTTGATTCATGGTGACACTTGCCTTAGTTGCAAGGTGGATTACTCTAACATGCTCTGTGTGAGGCTGCCTTTGGAGGGTGTTTGGAAACTTCAGTGGGTCCAAAGTGCTGCAGCCAGATTATTAACTGGGGCTGGTTACAAGGATCACATGACCCTCCTGTCACAGCAGCTTCAGTGGCTGCCGCAAGCGCTGATTTTAACATATAAAGCTGTAAAAAGCTTTGAGTTCAAGCTATCTAAATGACTGCATCTATGAAGCTGCCCGAGCATTAGGATCATCAGGGGAGGCCTTTCTCTCGATCCCTCCTGCCCTAAAAGGGACATTTGTTAGCGACATGGGGGAGAGCCTTCTCTGTGGCTACTCCCAGACTCTGGAACCCCCTCCCACTGGAGGCCATCCTGGCCCCATCTTTGCTGTCCTACTGCAAGCAGGCAAAGACCTTTCTCCTCAGGCAGGCTTTCCCTTCATGACTGGTTGCCTGAGTGGGGTTTTATAATGGGATGGTTTTTATTTATTTCGATTTTTTGCTATTAAATCTATTTTAGTAATGCTTTTACTTAACATTTTCAGTATAATGTTTAATTCTTTTAAAATATTTCAGTGATTTACTGTTTTTAGGTTTTAATATTGTGTCATTAATTATCTGAGCTGCCTTGGGTCCTTTTTGTGGGAGACAGGCAGGTTAAAAATATTTTAAATAAATGTGAGAAATGAAGGGTCCAGTCTAAAGTTACCAAGAACATTGTGAAAAATGAAGGTGGGTGCATCGAAATTCAAGCTATAATTGAAGAGAAACTGAAAATAAGGTTTGAGTACAACTCTGTGAAACAAATTAAGGAGGAAAAAAAGGACAGCAAACGTGAACATAAACAGTTTTGCAAAAGAAAGAACATAGTTGATGTTGGTGCTCATATACATCTCTCTCCCACCCCTTTACCACTTAGCCTTCATGTGCTGATATAACTACCTCGGTAGGGCTAAACTCAAATCATTGTTCATGAAGAAGAATTAATTTAGCAAACAGTAGTTAAGATGAACCACAGTTTAGTGTTGTTTTTGAATTCTAAACATTGGTCAATCAGAAATGAACATGTTCAAATTTCTCAGTTATGCTACAGGAGGAAAATGTGGAGTCTGATTGAGGATAGACTTGTTCCTCTCGTGAAACATAGCTTACTGTGATATCATTATGTAGCCAATGATTCACTGGATGATTAAAGGTGTGCTAGACATGACTAGGAGTCGGGAGATTTGTCAAGTTTATGGAACAAATTTGCATGCATCTTTTTACTGAAAATCAGGCAACAGAAGCCCTCAGAGGTGGGATGGAAAGTGCCTGTTGTTTCCAGTTCTTCTTGTACATGCTTTGTAGGCTGCATTTGTTACCAGGCTAACAGGAAGTCATGGTGAAAATAAGACAGTTGTGATTTTTGACTGTCGCATGAAAACACATGTGTGCCAGAAGATGGTGCTGTTTTAAAGATAAGCACAAATAATACACTCATTGGGTGAGCTGGTTCTTGCAACTGAATGTTCATCTCTGATTACTTCAGCATCTGTTAAGTGTAGCTATAGCATGTGCTCTTGATAAAGTGCCCTTCTGTGCAGCTTACTGTGGGATATACCTGCTAGTAAGCCTTTCAACCTTGCTCTGAATCTCACCCCAGCCTTCCAGAAATTGAAAGCTGTCCTAATTGGCAGTGGCATACATTTTTGCACAGTCTGATGGCCTGTGATCGGTATGGTTAAAGCGAAGAATCTGAATTGCATCACTTTCCTAAGTTGGTTAGATAAGTGATTTAATGGCCTGAAATCATATCACTACTACCTCTAGCCCCGGACAGTTGATCCCCTCCCACCAGCCCCCAGATGTGTTGCTTTGGTGCAGTAGTTCACAATGAGGGCAAGAACAGGTGATGGTTGTTGCATACTTTTCAAAGTACTGAATCTGAACATTACACTGTATTTAAAGTGGGGGAGAACAGATTGCCCCAGGGCCCAGTGGAGTACAGGTACAGGTGGGCAGCACCAGAAGCCATTGCAAGAGGAGTTATCTCCTCAAATCCCTACTAACTCAGTGAGCCTATTCTAGCTGGTACCGTCTCATTTTCAGGCAGGATAATTCTCCAGACTGAAGAACTATGGGATAGCATTGTACCACAACTCAAGTAAGGATGTGTCTTGTAATGAAACAGAGTAGAGAAGCAGCCTGTCTTTTTTTTTTTAATACTTTCAGTTAATTCACTCTGTCTCCCAATCATTTATGGTAGTATGGAACAATCTCATTTTATTAATCTCAGGAATATTTTTAAAAATGGACATATGGTATCTGTGTGTGATATCATTCAATTTACTCTATGTCTCGTTTCTTTGAATCTGAAGGGGAAATTGTGTGAATGGCCTTTTAAGTCCTTATTAGGCCTGTCATGGCTGCCATATGTTTATCTGGAAGCCCGGACAATCACTTTGCTTCAAATAATCCAGCCAATACCCCCAGATTTCTCCATACGTGGGAACACTGCTGTTTTCTGTACATGCTCCATTTAAATCCTTTTGACATCTGTGTGGGCTGGCTTCCTTGCATTAGCATAGGGGAGCTGGAAGTTGCTGCTCTGGTTGATTTGTTGCCAAATCTAGGTTAATTTTCCTCCAGCAAGGAAACTCGGACGTCTCTTCACACTGAAATTCCTAGTTTCTTGAGGGGGAAAACAGGCTGCTGAAATCATCTCCATCAAGAAATTGTGCCTTTCTGTGTGGTCTGCGTTATTTCCCAAGATTTAAAGTTTAACCATTTTCAGCGAATAATACTTTTGTTTTGAAATCAGTTTCTCTTGAAACATGTTGTAGCAGTTTCAAAGGTATGCTGTGGTTCTGGAAAAAAAAGTTATTATGTAAGGATTTCTGTATCTACTTTGCATTTTTTAAAAAATAAACCCAAAATCTGTTCACAAGCTGTCGGTGCACTTGGATTTTCAAGCAGTAAGGATTTCTGAAATGGAGTTCCTTGCATTCTAAAATGAAAGAGCAATTGAAGAGGATATCAAACTCTTAGAGCAGGTCATGTTACTATCCTATCAGAAGTGGAGATTTAATCATTTAGCAGTTCTTATTCCTTAACATCCACTTGACTTGGCCAAGTCATTATTGAGGCATTGCTAGGTAGCTCTGTCACTAGGCTACAGTAAGGCTTCAGGCTTCACCATAAGTGGGAGGAAAGATTGGTACAGGATAGAGGATATGTGCTATCAGCAAAGTCTTTTTGTTCTTTTGTTTACCTTGATTTAACTGTGGAAAGAACAGTGTTCTCGACACATGCTCATTATGGCCTCTTCACTCTTTTCTTACCTTGCATCAGAAAGAGAATGCGGGTGTCTTGTTTAGTGGGGACGTCATAGGGATTGCTGAGATTCTATAAATAATGTGCTTCAAATACTGTAAAGTATATGAATTCAAATCCTTTAAAGAATGAAAGTAATGAACCAACTTGCAACAGATTTTTTTCCCTTCATTCTAGCAGATTGTAAGATGTATGAGTGGAAATCTGACAATTTTGTTTATGCATGGATGGGGCTCTGGATGTGTTGAATTGGTCCCACTGAGCTTGGGACAAACTCAGAATGAGTCCTACCAAGAATATATACTTATTGAAGGGAATGAGATGTATTGGTCAAAACTAAATTGAGCCCCTTTCATTTCAGTGGGTTTAGTTTAGGTACCTCTTTATATTCTTTATCTTTATATGTGATGTTTCCAGAAGGATAACAATGCAAAAGCATATAGTCTTCAGGAGGATGAAACACTTTTAAATTATACCTTTTTTTAAAAAAAAATGATGTTTCTCATGCTTAAATATCCTACAAAGTGGTAAGACAAAGTTGGATGAAATGATAGCTGTTTGTATAATATTCATTAAATATTTATGGAGTTAGCATTCCATGTAGCATTGACAAAAACTTGAGGATTAATTTGAAAGATGTGTATCCTCTAGAATTAATAAGAAATTAAAGGGTTGAGAAATGCCATTAAAGCCTTGGTGACCTGGGCTCTGGTCAAGGGGACTGAAAGAAAGGTGTCTGAAGGTGTGGCCGGAAGTCTCAGAATTCTGCCTGGGGAATTTTTGGACGAACTCTAAGACTTGAAGCCAAATACCCCAGCCCTCGTAAAAATGTTGTTTATGAAGAAATGCCAGAAGCTTGGGATTGTGAAAGTTGGTAGGATTTGGAATATGTGTGTGCTTTAAAAAAACAACATGGATACACTTCATTTGAGGCCATATTTCTTGTAGATATGAATAAAAAAAATATTACCAATAGTGATCTGGCAGTGTTGTTTAACTACTAAAGGCTCTTCACACGTGGCCCAATGTTTCCAAAGTCTTCTCTCGAGCAAAATGGAACCCTATGGAACCTCAGAACCTAAAAAGAAGGGGATAGGAATCTTATTTATTTAAATGCTTCTGGTGCCCGATTCAGGTTGTACCGGTACAAAGTTACCCATTAACTAGTGGCAATTTACTGCTGCTTTTGATTCCACTTCACTTAGTACCACTCTAAATAACCAATAAGATTCTTAGTCAGTTGTGGACTGTTCCTGTTTTCTGCATATGTTCGCAAAAGAACACTTAGGTGGAGATGAGCACTGCATCAAGTGGCTTTATTTTATTTTAGTTCTCCTTTGTGAGGTACCACAATTATGTCTCTGTGTTGAATTCATCTATATTGCTGTGTTTGCATGTTTAGTGTATCATATGTATTGCCAGCATTTCAATAAAATGGTCTGTAGTCTCATTAGATTTTTTCCGCCCCTTTTCAGGTAATCCAGGACTTGCTGACTTTTACCGGACCTTCATCCGAACTTTGTACTGTAGCCTGAAACAGCAGTATCCAGTTTGGGCAGTAAGCCATGCTGGACACTGTAAAGTCCCTAATGGCATGAAAATGACAGAAGGTACTATGAATTAAAATACTGCTGTGTTTAATATTAATATTGAGTAGTAATATTATAACTAATTGGTGCTGATGAATGAGTTTGCATAGAATAGTTATCTCTGTTTCTTCCACTGGATTGTGACCCTAAAAGAATATGATAGATCGCTTTTTCCGTCTATATTCCTTTGACTACTGGTTTTTAATATAACATTGAATATAAGACTTAGAATCTATATCCCAAGACAAGGGGGTACCACTCAAAAAGAGCATAAATTGTGTTTCTAAATGATTTTATAATATTATAATGAAATTGTGTATCTTAGAATCCTATGAGATATTAAGCCTTAAGCATAAAACCCAGGAAACAAAACAGTTGCTCTTAACTTTCGGAGAATGATTGCATTGTTCCTGTTCATTCTGTTTTTATGGAAGTAAGTATGTAGCTACTCATGTGGATGGACACACACAAAGAGCATGCCCCTTATCATTCTTCCTTTCCCCCCCCCCCAAACCCACAGGTTGACCTGTTAACTTTTGCTCTAGTGTGAAGGTGCTGCTCCTAAATTCCAGCTTGGTGCATAACAAAACAGTGTTAATTCACAGTTTATTTGTGGATAAAGTGGGGTTGCAGAGTATACCACTAACAGAGGGTTTAGGGTGGTGGGTTGCTATCATTTATAAGGATCCTTTCTCTCTCACTAGGAAACCAGTCAGCTCAGGAGCCAGTTTTGTTTGTATCTGAAATAAAAGTTGTTTTGTAGTCAAGTCAAGAACTTGTATTTGTACACATTTGGAGTTCTGCAGATTTTATAAGTCCTTGTTTTAATTATAAAACAACAACATTATAGCTTGAGTGGCAATTTATATTTTACTTTATTTTAGTTAATTATATAGAACAGTAAAGAAGGGGTGTGATAGGGTTTGTTTAAATTTTGCAGCAGTTCCTTTTGGCGGAAAATAAAGATGGAGACTTGTCAGTCATGTTCAAAACTTCACTTTTATTAATCTCTGGCTTTTCAAAACAATCTCAACTGGGCTGAAACATGATAAGTCGGGTAACGGGCCATAACTGGAAGAGTCCAACTCTTCCTGAAAGTCCGGATAACTCACTGGGGTGCTGGGCCAAAGCGTTCGTGGTTCATGGGGCTCCGTAGAGGAGCACTCCTCACTGCACAGATTGTGCCACAGCATGGGTACTTTGCCCAGTCTCCTTCCTTTGGTGCTTTGTTGAAGGTAGAGTCCAGTCTTATTACCTTTCTGCCTCATCCTTGCCCCCACGGGAAGACAATGACCGTCCACTCCTGTGTCTCATATACTGCCTCTCCCTCTCTCTTTGGCTCTGGGTCTGGTAATAATCCTATGACTTTCAGGCTCGGGAAAACTCTCAGGAGCCTGCACATCTTTTTGTACTCAGCCTCTGCCTTGTCGCATTCCTCCTTCTCCAACCTGCTGCCAATCCCTTCCACACTGAAGACAAATACAATCTGTCCCCTGTCCAGCTCCCTGATTTTGCTGGTTTCAGGACTGCCTTTTCGCCTCGGCCTGCTGGACAAGGGTCTCTTCGAATTGGGAGAGGCCGTGATGCACCGCCTGCCTCCAGGCTGAACACTCAGACGTCAAGGTTTCCCATCTGTTGATGTCCGTTCCTAAGGCCTTCAGATCCCGCTTGCAGATATCTTTGTATCGCAGCTGTGGTCTCCCTCGGGGGCAATTTCCCTGCACTAATCCTCCATACAGGAGATATTTTGGAATTTGATCATCAGCCATTCTCATGACATGCCCAAGCCAACGTAAATGTCGCTGTTTCAGTAATGTATACATGCTAAATATTCCAGCTCATTCTAGGACTACTTTATTTGGAACTTTGTCCTGCCAGGTGATACCAAAAATACGTAGGAGACAACACATATGGAACATGTTCATCTTCCTCTCCTGCCATGCACAAAGGGTCCAGAACTCACTGCAGTATAGAAGTGTGCTCAGGACACAGGCTCTATAGACCTGGATCTTGGTATATGCCCTCAGCTTCTTATTAAGCCATACTCTCTTTGTGAGTCTAGAGAACATGGTAGCTGCTTTGCCAGTGCGTTTATCTAGCTTGATATCTAGGGATAGAGTGTCAGAGATCGTTGAGCCAAGGTACACAAAGTCATGAACAACCTTCAGTTCTTGTATGGAGGTGGTAATAGAGGGAGGGGAGTCCACACCCTGGCCCATGACTTGTGTTTTCTTCAGCCTGAGTGTTACTCCAAAGTCTTGGCAAGCCTTGCTAAAACGATTCATGTGTTGTTGGAGGTCTTCAGCAGAGTGGTCAACAACGGCTGCATCATCGGTGAAGTTGAAGTCCTGCATGCATTTCAGATGGACTTTGGTCTTTCTTTCTTTCTTTCTTTCTTTCTTTCTTTCTTTCTTTCTTTCTTTCTTTCTTTCTTTCTTTCTTTCTTTCTTTCTTTCTTTCTTAAATTGTTTTATTTATTTGCTGTCAGCTGCCCAGAGTAGTCTATGTCTAGATGGGCGGGTTATAAGTATAATAAATAAAATAATAAATAAAATAAATTAAATTCATCAATTCATCCATTCATTCATCAATGTTCCAGTCTCTCCTTATCCCCTGTAACAGGGAAGATTTTAGAAACTAAGTCAAAAATTTCAACTATTCATAAAAACGAAGCCTAGTAATTGGGATTTGCAGATTTCCATATTTGTTTTGAGTTTTGTTTTTTTGTGGTTGCCTCTTTCATCTTTGTTTTTTTCATGCACTTCTCCTTTAGATAAAAGGGAACACCCATTTCAGGTTGTTTTGTTTTCCACATTTGTGTTTTCTGACACTAGTCCAAAAAAAAACCCTATATAACCAGCAAAAGCTACCCCCAAGAAGCAGAGGCAAGGTGTCAGAGAATCAGTCTACTCCAGAATCAGGCAACAAAACAATTGATAAAAAACAAACCAACCACCAAACTGTCCCAAGTAAAGCTATATATTTTGGTGCAGTTTGCAGAATAAATGCATGGTAAATTAGCCAAACAATAATTTACAAATATCATTCAAACAGGGAAAGATATCTCCAAGAGAAGTGATAGCAAAATAAAAAGGCACACAGCATCCTTTTGCAAACCCCAAGAAAAGAAAGGCAACAAAGTAAAAAAAAAATACAGTCAAAGCCCCCCAGACCAAAAGTACTAGAATATGGGGAGATTTTTCCCTGCACTAGCATTCTATGCCATCTCTTTGCAACAGCAATATATATATATGTGGGCATACTAAAGAAATCAGTCAGACTCTGTTATATACTGTGCTAATTCATAAGAATTTTTCATAGCATGAAAATTAATTTTTTCATTGTTTTTTCCACCAATATATTTCAGCTTAAGCATCATTTATATGCCGCTTGAAGCATCTGGCTGAGAAGCCGGAGCTTAGGAATTTGATTCCCCCCACTCCTTGACAGTGGCTGGGCTTGTTGATCCAAGGCAATTCCTATCACAAATTGATATTCTCCATTGACAAGCAGTATGTGAGTTTTTGTACAAAGAATGCTAGTTACAGAGCTGTAGTATGTACCACACCTGCCTCTCGTATATACTTACAGCTTTCAGGTTCCATGCTCACATTTTTTGTGCTCATATTGAAATATTTAAGATGGCAAGGAAGAAACGAACTTGTCACCTGTCTGTCATCCTGGGCAAAAACCAACAATCTATACATGCTGCGTAAACATTAATGGAATCTTTAAATGTTGCTTTTTCCTTTGCAGTGCCCAATATTGACACTTTGACTCATTAAATTTTCCTAAAGGTTAGTGAGCTTGACTCAGTATGCAGATGCTACTTATGAACAGCTCCTTTTATAATCTCATAAACAGCGACTGCTTATTTACAGCCTTACGTGTTGTGAGTTTTGTTTGAGTCACTCCATTATAAGATTGAAGCATTTAGCAGCTACTATTGACATACTTGCATCCCACTTGCATCCATTTAAGAAATAAAGCATGGTTAAATTGCGATGATTTATTGGATTTTATTATAATCAGAATGTGGTGATCTTGGTCCCTAACTTAAAATAAACAATCTGTGAGCTTGCCTCAGAGTATGTTTATTTTTACAAGATTGTATGGTTTCTTTCAATATGTCTTTTAATGAGGAATTCTCATTGATTTTTCTCTGAGAATTGGAGTTGCATTTAGTTTGGGTGGTGTGGTAGTGGAGGAATTCACACTCTTGCTGTTAATCTAGGGAAAATGACTGAGGAAAAGTTTATTTAAACTGCAGGTTAGCACTTCCTATCACGGGCTTTTAAAAATACATTGCAGCTTAGAATCCTGGCTGTCAAAACAGAAGCTACTGGTCAGGAATGGGTGTCAGTAAACTAGTCACTAATCTCACCAAGAAATTAAATGGGTGGCCTTTTCGCTTGGTTGTTGGTATTAAATACATGTGTTATTTCAAATCCTAGCTACTTAGAATCTATGCAGTTTCCTTAATAAAAACAGGGGAAGCAAGGATTTTCCTTTTGTTTGTTCTTCCAAATTAGCAGAGATTACTTATATTACTGTGTTAAAAACTGTGGCCAAACTCCAAAGAGGAGTTTTCCCGGTGGAGAAGGATGTACAGAGATGAACCTTTGGAGGGCTGGGTAACTACCAGAGAAGGAAAGGAAAGGGAGGAAGGGAGGAAGGAAGGAAGGAATGAGAGTGCTCTCTTGTACAAGGAGGTGTGTGTGCGACCTTGATCATCATCTTTGAAGGTGTCCAGACAAATGCCCAAAACTAACCCTGCTGCTGCTTTGAAATGTTTAAAGTTCACCTTAAGAGGTTTCAGCAGCCGTTGTACAGTATTTTAAAATCTTTGGTGTACCTCAGTTATGAACACATGATTTGAATGGAAGAAGTTTGATTCATTTTGTGGTTATTGAGGTTTCGGTTGTGTGTGTTAGTTTGTTTTGCGATCTTCGTCCTTCTGTTTCCTACTGTGCCAGCAGTTACCACAGTTGTTTTGTAGGCAGGCAGTTTCCTTCCATCCT